GCACTTTTGGCCATCCAGCTTTCCTGTCACGTAGACACTATGTGTGCTTGACATTTTACACTTAGCTGTTGGGACTTTCACGATGGGGGTTGGTGGGCATCCCTCAACACCAGCCACTACTGGTCTCCCCGAGGCTGACTTATTGGTAGTATTCTTCTTACACTCGCTCCTCATATGTCCTTGCTCTCCACAGTTCCAACAACCTTTCTGGGTAGCAGCCTTTCCTGCCGTGGCATCTTCACTGTGTTGAAGTTGCCAGCACTGAGCTTTCTTGTGCCCAGGTTTGTTATAGTGCCAGCAAAGTCCCTCAAAATTCTTTGAAAGTTGACCTTTTCTGGCCTTGAATCCTGATGACTGTACCAACCTTGGTACCTCTGTGCTGGACTTAACGTAGGATTCAAATTCAAGAGCTCTGACCATTGCATTCTGCATAGTAGAGGGGTGTGCTTGCTTTACTTGTATCTTCAGTTGTGGACTGTCTAAGGCATCCACAAACTGATCTCTCAGCAACAATTTGAGGACATCAAGTGGTGCAGTTGGGTAAGTCTTGTATGCCATACGTTCCAAATCCTTTGCCAGCTCTTGGAGGCTCTCCCCTTTAGCAAGGACTCTCGTCCTAAACCTAGCCCTGTAGATTTTGGACTGATTTTGGGTTCCATACCTGAGTTCTAGAGCAGCTACCAGTGCTCTATAGTTGTGCCTGTCATCTGCTGACAATTGTCCAAGTATTTCCAGTGGTTGTCCCTTCAAGCTCGTTGCGAGGTACACTGCTTTCTGCTCCTCTGTCCATCCATTCATTTCTGCTAGTAGCTCAAATTTTGCTGTATACGCTTTCCATGGTGCCTTCCCATCGAATTCCTGTGGCTTCCTTCATACTAGATCACCCCTATTGCTGACACTCATGTCTGTAATGTGAATTCTGACAGGACTGAAGATGTCTGAATTAGGGTTTAGCTGCGGGGTCTGGAAGGGGCTTCCTGTTGTCTGAGACTGATTAGGTTGATGGATAATATATTCTCCTTGTGTAAAAGACAGTAAGTCATCCTTTAATGTATTTAATTCACTTTGAAATTTACTAAGCTTTTCCATTTGTACTTCTTGTTTCCTTTCTTGTTCCAGTTGCCACTGCTGTATTCTCTCTTCTTGTTCATTTCCTTTCTCCTCCAACCACTGCTGTAGTCTCTCTTCTTGTTTATTTTCGCGTTTTACTTGTTTCTTCTCTTTTTCCTCCAACAACTGCTGTAATCTTTCTTGTTTATTTTGCTGTTCGAGCTGCCACTGTTGCAGGTTTTCTTGCCACTGCTGTAATCTCTCTTATTGTTTCTTTTATCGTTCTTTTTGTTTCTTTTCTTGTTCTTCTTGTTTCTTTTCTTTTTCCTCCAACAGCTGCTATAATCTCTCTTCTTGTTTCTTTTCTTTTTCCTCCAACAACTGCTGCAATCTATCTTCTTGTTTCTTTTCTCGTTCTTCCTGTTTCTTTTCTTGTTTCTTTTCTCGTTCTTCCTGTTTCTTTTCTTGTTTCTTTTCTCGTTCTACTTGTTTCTTTTACTGTTCTTGTATTGCTGCCATCAAATCTGCTAAGCTGTAGTTTGATTTGCCACTTCTCGTTTCCATCTTCTTCTTTTTCTTTTTTTTTCGTCCCACTCTCTGACACCAATTTGTTACGTATCTGCTCGTTTGTTAATTTCAGGTATAAATTCTTTCCGAGAAACTTCAGCAATACAAGTCCTTTCTTAATTAAACCTAGTTTATTACTTCTCGATACAACTTTATAATACACAGAATTTCCACAGTCATTTTAACTTAAACACACGCTATAATTCACAACGAATCACGCACTTTATTACGGTCACTACTGCTCACTTGACTCAATTATCTGTCTCTATCTCCATCTATCTGCAATTATTCTCTCCGATTTATTTGCCGGGCTTATATACAAAAATAGAGGGCGTCTGGCAAACACCAGAGTTGCCAGGAACAGTCATGATCCTTCTAGAAACTCATGACGTATTACCAGAGTCACGTGACTTCCGCTGTCGTAACAATATTTATAAACAGGACATAATACTCGTAGACTTGTGTTAATTGCGCCTTGGGTTCACGTTACCTACCATCGTGGCAATTTCATAGAATTTTATTATTTGGCCATGCTATTTTGCCATTGTTTCCAGATGGATGGTTGGTACATAAGTTCGTAAAGTAGGAGCTGGGAATTATTATTCTTACCATTGAATATTTCTAATGAGAATGGTCACTGGTACAATCTAAGTAATCTAATACTTTTGGAAACTGCACAACGATTTGGGTCTGATTAAACTGAAAGTGTTGTATAGACAATATTTCTGTCTTCATGAATAAGTGTTTTGACATTCTTTTAACTCCAATAACCATAAGAATTACTATACAGCTTTTAAGCCGGCAATATTATAGTAAAGTTTCAAAACGGTCTTGATAGCTACATTTGTGTAAAACAAAGATTGCTATTTTTTGTTTTATAGCTGTGTTTGCGTCTTTCATTTGTTTTGCCCGTGTTAACTTTAGTCTCTTGAAAAATAGCGAAAAATTATTTTCAGTCCTTCGTTACTGTAATATTTAGTACTTAGTACTTACCGATTCGTTCCTGCTTTCAACTGCGAATACTACGATAACAAAATCTTATCTACATTTGAATTTGTTGTAAGTTGCTATAAAACGAAAAATCTTAGGTTTTATTGGCTAATTTAAGTAACTGTCACACTCACAATAAATTTTCTATAAACTTCAAATTTATCATTACAGACAAAAAAAAAGTCAAAACATGAGCAGCAGCTTAGTGAAGATTCAGATGAAATCATTTTTGTGAGTAATAATGTATCATTTAAGTGTGCGTAATATTTTACGATGAAGAATTAGAAATTCAAAAAGATTCGTTTAATTGAAACATTAGACCCGTTCATATTCATTAGTTAACATATATTTTGACTATTTGAAAATTAAACCCAAAGTTGGTCTGCAGTAAAGACTTAACAACAATCTCCATACACACACACACATATATATATATGATATATTGAATTAGCTACATAGTTGTATCACAGCCGGCCTGAAAAGTCATAGAACTGGATGAAAGGCTTCATCAGTACTAGATATAGTAGATACAGTGTGTTTGACATATTATTATTGCATGTACTTCTTTTATTTCACTCAGAAGTTTTTGTTAATAATTAAGAAATGATCAAGACTATTCGTTGTGTAAAAATTATAATTCTACAAGGGTCGACAAAATAGCTAGCATTTTGTTTGTTTTAAATCCAAGTTACTTAATTTTTTATATCCTATTTGGTTGCTGGGTAGGTAAATATAAGGCTTTAAATAATATTGTAAACAAAAAGAAAAGAAAAAAGATTCTACAAGTGACAATAAATTGATTAACAATGTACATCCTCTAATCTCAAATTTCCCCCTGGTGGCTCAGCGGTAACTTTGCAGCCTTCCAACCTAAAATTCATGTTTCGGTACCAGTGGTGGGTAGAGCACAGGTAGCCCATGGTGTTGCTTTGCGCTTAACAATAACCAAACCAAACTAATCTCAAATTATAAATCTTTATCCTAATTTATTTAGATCTTTTAAAGGCTTATATTTGGAAGTTTGATATTTGTTTAAGGTAAACGATCTAATGCGACATTCAGATTTGGTTAGCTGATATGTGATTATACTGACGCTAAATGATATCGTTTTAAAAATTTAAAAGTACAGAATGATGTAGAACGTTGATAGTTACAGGGTATAGAAAAGAAGAGTTTCTTTGTTGGTTTGTTATTAAGCACAAAGCTACACAATGGGCTATATGTGCTCTTCCCATTTCGGATATCCAACCCCCAGTTTTAGCATTATAAACCCTCAATCTTACCAATGAGCCATCGGAGGGCTACCTTGAAAGAGCAAAAATGGTTGATGGGAGAAGAAGAAAAAACAGTTTTACTTCCTTTTTGGTATAGTCACGCACAAAGCTTTCAAGTTGTGAGAATTATTTATCATCAAAACTTAAAAATCAAAATTATGTTTTTAAATGTACATGTTTGTATATTTTATCACTAAGGGGCGCTTAGCTGTGTGTTGTCAGCAGCAGGGGGTTGACATGGTAGATTTAGTATTGTGATGGGAAATGGCCTATCAATGTGGCAGTTGTCTCTGTGGGTGATATTTAGGAAAAGGAAAATTATATTAAATATATCAAGAAGTTTTTTACTGCTTTTTTTTACTTTCTTATGTGCATTGAGACTATTTTGGCAGAAGGAAAATGCGGTGACGTTGAATGTGTTCACGGGTCTTGCCGTGATGGAAGATGTTTGTGTGACCCAGGATGGCAAGGCTTATCCTGTCAACGGTGCGGCGGACGTGTGAGGTAAGTGACCTGAGTTGTTCCTTTACTTTAGGCTTTAGCATAGTTCATACCCTGGAATGGTTTCAAAGTGTTAGTCTAGAAGTCTGTATTTAGTATTTTAACCATTCGCATTGGAAAAGATATTTTAAATAGACGTGATTTAATTTGAAATAATACTAATGTTAAATAATTAAGGCCATATACTTTATTACTTGTAACAAAAAATATATTGTAAATTTTCTGTTGTTTACTAGTAGTAGTAGTAAGTACTACAGTTTAGAGCATTTGTGGGAGGGGGGATACTAATGTTAAATAATTAAGGCTATATACTTTATTACTTGTAACAAAAATATATTGTAAATTTTCTGTTGTTTACTAGTAGTAGTAGAAGTAAGTACTACAGTTTAGAGCATTTGTGGGAGGGGAGATGAGATCAAAAAGCTTCAACTATGATATAAAAATAACTGAATTTTTTACTTCATAATTAATGTTGGTAGTATGGATAGTTTTTCACATTAACTAATTGTGTTGCCCATCTGCTGTTGACTTTGTTTAAATAACACAAGACTTACTGATTACCTCTACATATTTTTAAAACTAAAAGGTCTCTAGTGTTAAAAGTATTTGGAAATACTAAAGCTTCACTTACCTCAAAATAATACACATTTATGTTTTTTTTTGTTGTTGTTTTACTCATAAAACCGGTTTGCTTAATAAGGTCCAAAGCTGTGTTAGTGTTTACATAGACTTTTGTGACTGATTAATGTGAAAATATGGTGTGAAATGTTGATTTATTTCAAGAATCTTGTTGTGCATGCAATGTTTCTTTTAGTGATTGAGTACATTTGCAATAAATGTCTTTATATTATGACTTTACTATTTTGTTAATGTTTTGAGCAAATACAGATTTGATAGATTTTGCTTGATCTTGGTATAGTGATAGATAAGTTACTCAATCCATTGAGGCAGTGCTCTGTTGCTTGTAGAAAAGCTAATAGAATATTAGGATGTATTTATAGATTTATTAATTAAAAGTCAAAGTGGCAATTATCTCTATAAAAATCACTAGTTATGCCTCATTTGGAATATTGTGTTCAGTTTTGGTATCCTTATCCAAGAAAAGTCATTGACTTATTGGAAAGAGTTCAGAGGATAGCTTCTAAGATGATTTTGGAAATGAAAGAGTTATCTTACATGGACAGATCAAGATCTCTTCACTTGTTTGTTTTTTTAAGAAAAGAAGTGTAAGAGGTAACTTAATGAACTTTATATGATTATCTGGGAGATTGATAGGATAAAAGCCTAAGATAGGAGTAGTTGTTCACACACAACTTAGAGAACCCTAGAGCCATTGGCTACAATCCCATTTTCTTATAATTTGCATTATATTTAATACTTTTTTTTTGCAAATTGGATTATATGTTTTTTTAGTCTGAAACACAAGACTAGTAGCTCAGAAGATGGAATATAAAAAATTATAACTATAGGACCCCATTCTGATAAATTTTGGCTCACAAGGTACTCCGAAAACTTTGTTAGTGCACCACATTAGCAATTAAGGATGAAAAGGCATTCAAATAGCATAGTCATGATGTGTGTTTGAAGTTGGAATATTTAAACTTAAGAAACTTGTTCTTATGGTTTTCAAAGGATAAAAAAAATGATTTTAATGAGCTAATTAGTTGTTCTTTTTTTGCAACTGTGAGAAAACTTGTAGGTGTCACACACAATAAAGAATTATCATAAAAATAAGTCAGTGGAATCCAAAAAATAAAACCTGCCTCTTGATTTCTCTCTTCTGTATTTTAAAGACAATGGGATGAGAGAACCCAAGTTTAACATGGGAAAAGACAGTATAGCCAGGCTCCAGTTTAAACAGTTTTCTTTTTCCATTAGGGTAATTGGTAGAGTTGGGTGATTGGTGTAATTTTATAATTGATTAATTGTTGGGCTCATTAGTTGATTACATTTAACTAATTGATTATTCTCACAAGAATCTTGATGGTTTTAATAATTGAAAATACTGATAATTGAAACAAATTTTGATTGATTATTTTCTTGAGTTGTGACACTAACTTATTAAGCTAAAAACTTTGAATGAATGAAAAATAATAATGAGTAATCATAAATGCAATATTTCAATTATTTGGATAGATGAAATAATTGGAAGCATTAATTTCAATTAGTTGATTATTTTATATGACAATAATATTTAATTAATGTAATTGACTGTATTGATTAATTAAGTTAATGGCCCAGCTCTAATCATTACAAATAGTTATAATATTATAACACAACATGCAGGCAACAAAGGATTGTTTGGTCCATCAAGGTTGTCTTTGTTAAAAGATAAACTTAAACCCACCCTTTGCTTTTCAGGAATTTACTGATTCCATTTTGAAACTTTAAACTTTTTTTGAAATAACAGCCTCCACAACTGTCAGTGGCAATCCATTCTCATTTCTTTTTTACCTTGATTCCTAGCTTTTGTTTTTAGTTCTGTAATTCTTTCATCCCATTTTATTTTATACTTCTTATGGAATTAATCTGAGATTATGTTCCTTATGTCCTTATCAGGGTTTAGATTTGGTTCTTGAAAGCCAGTATCCAGACTTGCTACTGACAAAAAATTAGCAGTAGCCAAGTCATTGAGTTCAGCAGCCAAAAGTAGTATACCCATAGTCAGTGCTAATTTCAGTACAGTTGTGTAATAAGCTAATGTTTTTCAAATAATCCGTAATAGTAGATAATATAAATACAGAAAAGAACCATAAAAAATCCTGGCTTTCATTATGGGAGAAGATGATTTAAACTTTATCACTCTTGAAGAGAAGGCTGTTTTGGAAAATCAGGTTAACAAAGTTCTTGGACCTGATAACATTAATTTTAAAATGTTTAAAGATTTTAACTCTGTAAGGAAAAAGTACATCATTAAATTAAATACATAATAGAAAGAAAACTTTGTCATTTTTCAACAAATAAAAAATCTTTCAGAACTGAAATTTATTCAATAAAAAGTTTTATTTATTTAATTTTATACATAAAATGGTTCAAACTCACAAATTTTAATTCTGGGCTGATTTCAGAATGCTCCAAAAAATCCACTAGTGTTTTTGAATTTTCTGAATGTAATACATCCCTCTGGGAGGAAAGCAATAATAATTTGTAACAAAAGATGCTAATTCAATCTTCCACTGTTGGACAAAGAGTATTCCCTAGTTAACATGGTTGTGGTCTTCCACCTAGTGCTGCCCTGCTAGGCTACCTCCCACCTTGTAGATGTTGCAATGGTTTCCTGATACTGTTTTCAAAAAGGAGCTCATCTTTGTAATTTCTTTGCCCTGGCCTCTCACCATATTCAATGTGGGATTCTATTCTAGCTCTTTGGGGTGTGAAGAGGTAAGTAATATTTCTGAAGTCAACATTTTCTTTACCCAAAAATGTTTCTTTATTCTTCTCTTTTTTGCACCACCTCCCACCCCTTTTTCCTTCCCACTTTTTGGACATTTAATTTGCCTCATCAAGAATGAGGCTGTGTTTATGTACTAGCTGTCATGGGGATTACTGTGTATAGAGGATTGGTTGCCCTTCTGTTGGTGAAGGGTTATAGTCTAATTATGATTACATCATAGGCTAGCAGAGTACACATTGGTATATCTAGAGGTGGAGATTTGTTTATGGCTTTGTAAGGAAAATGTTAATTTTTCTAGATTCTGTTCCTTATTAATCTTTCATGCATGCCAGTTTTGCTTGTAGGTATTTCACAGCAGAGTTTTGTTAGTGGTTTTTCATACCACATGCTGTGAGATGATGTGAAGGAGATGCTGTACTAACAAAATCAAAGAAAGAAAAGGAAAAATGTTTTTGTTTATGAAACTACTAAAGGACATTTTGGGTTGAAGTTTGTTAGGTCATCTGGTGCTAGAACAAAGTCTGTGTATTACATAGTTAAACTTTGTACAAAAATGTTTTAATGGTCATAAAGTGGCCAAGTATTTTAAGCAGTGTTTATAGGGGTGCATTTTTGTATTGATTCTAAATAACCTAAATGTTGAGAAGTTGAAAACAGTTCTTACAGATTGTTATTTTATATAGTAAACCTCTAATTTGGTTGAATTACAGGCTTAGAAATATTGAAAGAAGTTTATTTGTTCCCATTGTGTGAATTTTCTAATTAAACATCTGTTGGCTTAACCTGTATTTCACACCTACAGGTTTTTATATTAAACACCAACATGTCTGTGATCTTATTTCATTTTTAAACATTTACATTAAGCCAATTAGCTGAATGCATAGTACTGACTATAAAGAACAGTTACTGATGTTGATAGAAAATAACTGTTACATGGACACTCCAGCCCATTGAAACTTTAATTTGATGCAGCTGTTCAAAGTTTTTATACCCGTCAAACCAGCCAGGTTACTTTGTATCTGTTTTGACTTGCTGTTTAATCTGGTACTATTGAATTAAGGTTTGATAAAGATGTAATACAAAGTTTTTGTGTAAAATGTTTTATAGTTTTATTTAGTTAATGTATTTGTTGTATATATTTCTTTGTAGTATATACTTTTAGCATACTTACTGTATCAGAAATACTGTAAGTGTACCAAAAAAGTCATCTCTTTATGTTTTGATGGTGTGGGTTGGACATGATTACCTGTTTGTGTCATGCTTGACTACTGTTGCTTAAAACAGAGCAGCTCCCAGTGAGTAATGTTTATGTTTTGTAAAGGCACAAACCTTATACTAGTGGTGATTCAAAAAATTAATTTGTTATTGATGTAGCTGTACTATGAAATAGATTAAACCCTGTGAAAATCCTAGTCTTGACTGCTAAGTTCTGTACTGTAGTATGTCTTTACCCCTCATTCAAAGTGACAAGATTGTGCGAGCTGATAATAATCAGCAAAACTCTCTGCTTGTATGAAGTTGTTTAAAATCAAGAGCATTAAATTTAAATTTCTGTTATGAAATAAATTTTAGTTTTAAAGTAATATACTGTGAGCTCTATATAATGTTA